TGTATATTTTATTTTCAATATCAATTAAATTTTTTTCTTGTCTTTATTTCGTTGCCAAATTGAATATGTTAATGTCGTCGCTAATGTTACCCAGCCAAAATAAGGTATTAGAAGATAGGAAGCTGTTCGATTAATTGGATAAAATGCGCCGATACATAAGCCAATATTCGCTAATAGTAAAGTAATTTCAGCACATGCCTAAGAAAAATATAAAAATATTTTTTTTCTGTAAATATAATTTCAAACTTACAAGTCCTAATTTATGATAACCAAAAAAAATTGGTGTCCATAACCAATTTAACATCAGTTGTGAACCGTAAAGCATTAGAGCACGATCACGACTTTCACCAAAACCATCTCGATATATAAGGTATGAAGCATAACCCATCATTGTATATAATGTTGTCCAAACAGGACCAAAAGCCCAGTTTGGTGGTCTCCATGGTGGTCGATCAAGAGTTTCATACCTAAAATAACAAAAATTATACAATTTTAAATATGTCCTTTTTGATATATACCATTGTTTTATATTTTTTCGTGTAAGTAATCCACCAATAATACCACCTACATGTGGCAGAAGTGTTAAACCAATTGCAGCCTTCGATAAACTCATTAAAAATATCTAGAAGCGAGATTATAGTTAATCAGTGTATGTTCACAGAAGCAAAAGCAAAAGCAAAAAACGAAAAAGAAAATAATTCTATTGTTCATATGGATCTACTGCTGGACGTGGACGGCGCGGCGGTGGTTGAGCATATGGTGAATTAAGTTGCCATATTGACATATTCAATGCTGAAGCTAAATTTATAAAAATTTATTTAAAAAAAAATAATACAAAAATATTTTTACCATATCCAACCCAAATAAGATAAGGTAATAGAAGCGTTCCAGCATAAGAATTAATATGCCAAAATTGTAAAACACAAATAAAAATATTGATAAATAAAGCAAGTATGATGACGAGTGCCTAGAAATATCTCCAATAAAAAAATAAATTTCTATTCTTTGTAACTTACACCTCCTATTTGATGAAAAACGAAAAATACTGGTGACCATATCCAATTAAGAAATAATTGTATGAAATAAAATACTAATGTAAGTGTTTTTACTGATCCTTCACCATCACGAACAATTAAATACGAAGCAATACCCATAAGAAGATAGACTATTGTCCAAATTGGACCAAAAATTGCATTCGGTGGACACCAAGATGGTTTTAAAAGTCTCTATTAAAGAAAAATTCATGAGTATCAGACATTGATATTTGTTCATCAACTTGCCTCATACCAAGTTTTGATTTGTTTTGCTATTATAAGTCCATTTATAATACCACCAATCTGTGGTAATAATACCCAACCTGTTATTGATACCCAATTCATATTAATCTAAGCAAAAGAAATTTGTTCATTCTCATTTGTTTCTTTGGAAATTATTATCTCAATGTTGACCCTTCAAACTATAGTAGTTTACTTAAATCAAACAAACAAAATTAAATTTCTTCTTCATCATCAATGTTCTTTCAGTTGCCTGTATATATATATAAGCAGTCAAAAACAACAAAAATAATGACAAAACACACCGAGTAACAAGAATAGTTATATACTTTTACATAAGAAAGAGGAAAGATACAGTAAAAGTAAAAGATAACATACGTACTCAATGACATAACGGACATCTATAGCATAGAAAAAAAAATGACATCATCATAATAAATCGTATGAAGAAAACAGAAGAAAAAAAAATAAATTAATAGATAAATAACAGCAACTATTGAAGTACAGATGAATATATATATATATATTTAATTATTTTTCACTGTACATATATTATTAAAGAAAGTTAAGTCTTGGACATGGTTTTTTTGTTTTGTTTTATTTTATACAAAGGATATCTAATAGAAAACAAGCAAATAGTGAGATTTGGAAAGAACAAAAGCTTGCAACTATGATTTATATATATATATAGTTGGGTATTATGAAAAGGTTATAGATCAGTCAACTCCTTCAAATGCTTCACTCATTTCCATTGCTTGCGTTAGTTTTTGTCGTAATTCTTGATAGTTTTCATAAGGTGGTAGATCAATACGATTAAAACTAGAAGAATTACAAAATAATAATATTTTTTTTATAGTATGAAAATATAACAAACCAGGTATGAGCACGTGGTAATTTTGTTCGATCACCCCATTTTTCAATAGTGAATAATTGTGGACCCGATGAACCCCATAATTCTCGAAAACCATTCATCGGTAATCGAGATGTACCAGTTACAAATTGAAGAAAACGAGTACGTTCTTCAGTATTAAAAGATCCAATAGCCTAGAGAAAAAAATACCGACTTTTACTTACATTCACTCAAACTAAAAATATCTCGTATTATTAATATAAATTTAAAAAACATCATATTTCGCAGTGTCATTTTACTAATAAATCTATTACAAACTTTAATTAAATCTAAATAGTTTCACATTGACCTCATCAATTATTACTATCGAGAGATAAAATTAGTTTTATCTCTACTACAGATAAAAAATTCTGTTCTACAAATATTTGAACATAGAAATATCATTCTTCTTTCTAAAACATGTACCACCATATGTTCTACTAATTACGATAGGATAGAACTTTTGTAGAGCTTATAAAAAATAGTTACATATCTCTCCTTAGCAACAGTAGGTGTTATTCATTTACCTTCCAAAACCATTGTATTACTAGAGCTTCTGGTGTATAACCTCCTTTATACATTGTATATGTTCGCCAATCATTAACATTTATTTCTCCAAGTCCACTAATTAAAAGCTAAATAGAAAATATTTATATAGAAAATCAAAAATTATTTTGTTTATATAAATATATACTTCAACTTCTTTTTCATCAAACAGTTTAATAGTATCAAGTGGTAAGATTTCTTGAATACCTTGTTTTAATGCATTCATTTGTGTTGCCATTCGTTGGACAAATCGATAATTAATAACCAAACTAATTGGAAAAAATCAAATAAACTTTTTTTTTTGGTTCTTGATTTATCTTACTCAATATATTCTTGTTTATTTTCTTCAGTTACTTGTATATGTTGACCATCAAGTTTAAGTTCATGTTCACGTAACTTAACAAAAACAAAATTTTAAGAAAAATATCCACATCTATTTATTGATTAACATACTTCACCTAATATTTCTTCACTAACAACAAAATATAGATCTAAATCTGTTGGATCATTATCAACAATATATTTTAATGATTGATAATATTCTCGATCAACTGTTTCCATATCCGCGAGTGTAATCGGTTTCGAAAGTAACATTTTATAAAATGGACGAATAAAAAATGCTTGAAAACAAAATTATAAAGAATTTTACTATATATTTGAAAAATAAACAAACCTTCAAGTAATTTCCCATGATAAATAGCCATACCAATAATACGTCCAATAAAACGAAAATATTTTATATGTTCTTCATTAAATAAACCAGACAATGGGTTTACTTGAAGTGTATAATTGTCACTAGAGAGAAACGTAGATTTAAAATGTGACAGAAACATTAAATCCTAGTTCGCAGATATGTTTGCTAAGTATTTATCGTGTGGGGAGGCGGGGTATGGGATATTTTGCTTTCCCTGCAGAGATAAAATCTTACATAGCACTATATTCGAATAAGCCATAATATGGATTGAATATTTCACGTGAAAGTATTAAAAACCATTCACGACTTAAACCGCCATAATCTAAACCACGTTCACCATCGAATATAACCCAAAGTCTTTAAAAGACAAAAAAAAACGAAAATTAAATATATAATTATTAGAATTTATTCACCTTGTTTTTAATATTTCAGTGTCTCTGATACCCATAACAGCTCGAAATGATGTTTCCATAATATCTTTCCTATTAACATGTAATTCAACTTGATTACCAATATTTGGTTTAGCTCGTGGTAAATTACGACGAAATAAACGATATTTAGCTTCATAATCACGTGAATATGGTACTGTCTAAATAATAATAGAATATTGATAAATTTTTATTATTAATAAATGCATGAAAGAAAGAAAGAATAGTTTTGTACGCATGTTATTTGACTCATTTTCTAAATACAATAACAATACATGCACGCAAAGAATAATATTATGAGCAAGTGTACTTTAAGTATGATTATGATATGTACTTTTCTTTTTTTTTTATAAAGAATGACGTATTTAGATTTATATGAGAAAGATAATGTTTCATTTTAACATACCGGTCCTGCTATACGTGGATCAGTCCAAGTTGTATTTTTATTTACTAAAATATAGACAAAATTATAATAGAAAATTATTATTTTATATAAAATCTTACAGTGATCTATATAATAAACACGACCATCAGGTAATGTTCGAACTTCCCAATGTGCCTATATAATTAAATCAATTGATAGTTACTTTCTCTTTCTAACTTACAGGTAAGGGTCCATTTTGATTAATTTCACGTTGTGCAGCTGGTAGTGGACTTGATTTACCAGTTCGTGGATCAATCTGAAAATAAACTTAGGTGAAAAAAGTTTTCTATATACGTTTGTTGTCATACCCATGTTGTTCGTTTATTAACATGATCAATAAAAAACATACGTTCATTATCTGTTTTAGATAATTGCCAACCAGCTGGCATCGGACCAAGATCATCTACTGTATTTGAATTTGCTGCTATAACGGCAGCTGCAGCAGCAGCATTCGTAGCTCCTGTTGCTGGATGACGTGAACTGCTTGTTGGTGGAGTATTTGTTTGAGAATTATTGCCATCAATATCATCAACTTGATGTCGATCACTAACTTGTTGTTGAGATCGTTCCGAAGTTGTTGCACTAAAATTTAATATAAAATCATAGAATTCATTTTGATCATACAAAAGATAACATATCAGATACTTTCATCATATATTGAAAGGTGTTAGAATACTATTTACATTTAATGATGATATATGTTTAGCAGTTTGATCTGATAAGTAAATAGTATCACACAGTTTATTCAATAAAATAAACTCAATGATACCATATACATCATACACTCTTCAATGCATCATCATAATCAATAAGAGACTCCTTCCATATTCTACTAAAATCATTAATCTATCAAATTTAGAATACTTACGTTTCTCCAGTTGGACGACTCCAAGTTGTTGTTCGTGTGGTATGATCAACATAATAAGTTCGACCAGCCGCATCTTTTCGTTCTATTCAAATCAAAAGAGATATTATTAAAATGAAATTCTATATTTCATACCTTCCCATCCTGCTGGTAAAGGTATTTCAGTTAATGATTGAGGTATATCACGATGATTAATAATCTCAAATCCAGCCTATGAAAGAAAAACAAGATTATGATTGTTTTTCTTCTAAATAAAAGATCGTTGTTATACTTCAGGTTGTTGATTATTTTCATTTTCAACAGATTCTTCTCGTGCTAATGCTGTACTAGGATTTATATAAGCTAATCCAACTGTTGCTTTACCACGAACACGTTGAAGAACACTAAATTACGCAGAAGATAAACGTAAATTCTTTTTTTGTTATATAAAAATCAGAATTAAATTAACCTTCGTTTTAATAAGGAATAATCTTTTGTTAACATGGATTGTTCAGCTGATTCATATGGGATTGGAGTATTTAATTCGACAAAAAACATACCAAGAAATTCATCTTTTGTCTTTTAATATAGAAATTTTATTTTTAGTTAAATAATAATATTTTATATACACATACAAGTTTATTTTGATCATAGATTTCAAATTGAAGACGATGTTTACTTGGATCAACCTAATTAAATTATAAAATAATTTCTATTAATTATATTTTATGTTGATACATACACGAAAAATAAAGTCTTGATTCCATAATGGATTAAGTGTTTTTGGTACTGTACGTGTGCGTGCAACATCAATAGTTGAATTACGATTTTCACGGATTTGTAGTGAAATTTTAACATATGGATCACCAGATCCACCGAGAAAATCTCGTCTCTGTAATTCTATTGCTCGTAAAACTTTAATACGTAATAGACGAGTATTCCGTTCTGATGTGCCAACACCATAGATTTTTTCTCTTGATGTATCAGCCATTTGAATACAAAATAAAATATGTATATGAATGTACTAGAAACTACAAAAAAGAAATGTGACTATATATCATTTGATTGTCTTTATTAGTCATCATTCGAGAACAGCTCGTCAATAATAAGGAAAAAGGAAAAGAAAAAAAAAATAATATCATAACATACATTAACGCCACCAATAAGAAGTGAAATCGAACGACACACAAACAAGATCTGTCAACTGCTGTCGGCATCAACATGAACGATGAAGACTCACATATTATATCAAAGTTAAATTTTTTTTCTTTTTCTTTTACTACTATTCCACTTTTTTAAAAACTTTTCGACCAATCAAAAAACAACATGTCAATAGTTGTCGCAAGTTATCTGAGATACGTATATAACTATTTAGATATATCGAACAACTACTTTCATTCTTCTCCTTTATTTGAAAAGGAGAGGAATTAACGCTAATCACTATTCTAATAAGAAAAGTTTATCATGTAAACAACAATTAAGCATGAATAGTCCCTTATGTCGCAAGCTAATGAATCCGAAAATGTAGAAAATATTTAGACAATCATATGTTTACGTGAAATGCGGTAGATACGACCGCAGACTTTCATCAAAATTCCAATGTCACACTTAGTAGCACTCATTAACATCTTATTCAAAACGACATATTATCAACATTTCAATGCTTTAATTGATTCAACAACATCTCAGACACTTCAGATTCAAGTGACAATGATAGTATAACATATATTTTATCTAATGGAGAAAAAAAATACTGATCAGATAACTTTACTAATAAGGTTCATATTTAGTACTCCTATTGAGTAATAAACCTACACGAAATTAAGATCAATAGCAATATAGTCTTATCCTTTCTCACTAGCTGAACAGTTAGGATTCGTCAAGATTGTTTACTACATATTAGAGTCCTATCTATATATCAAGAACTGATATAATCCGTAGGATTGTAAAAATTGATAATCTCATGATTAATCCTTTGCCTCCCAGCGACGTAAAAAAGAGTTTCGTATCGTATCGCTTAATAAAGACAAAAACTTTTGTCAACGGTTAAATGACGAAATCTATGATCAAATTTTTAGAATTTACAGATTTAGATTCTATTTGAACAAATAAAATTCTTTCAACAGATGCTTTTTTGACTACAATCGTTCTGTCAGTGCTGAATATTAAGAATGCGTATAGAAAAATATGAAATTAACTGAAAGATTCGATTTATTTAAAATTATTATTGAACAACTTTGAGTATAGAAAAATAATATGAAAATTTATATTCTTTGTTTTAATAATGGTTATTTCAATGAAACACGTGCACCATGTGTTGTAGTAATTTGATTATCATCAAAAAAATTTGATTTTATATTAGGTCTACTAAAAACTTCGACTTCATCATCATCGTTGATATCATGAAAAATATGATAACGTCCAGTTTCTTGTTTAAATACACCAGCTCTTATTCGTTTATTAAAGCCTAATATAAGTACAACAATAATAATAAATAAGCCAGTAATAATTGCAATAAATTTTATTCTATTCCACGATAAATTCATTTTAGATTTTTTATGGTTCTGATGATGATGATGAGATGCTGTCAGATTATCAGTACTAGTATTGCGAATATTTAATGTAGATACAGGAGTAGTTGTCTGAATTTTAGTTGTATTTTTAGATTCATTTAATATTTTCATTGAATTTTTTGATGTATAAATATATGGATGTTCTTTTGTTGGACATTTTAATGATTCATTCATCATATACCATGACGATTGTTTATTACCAACAGGTTCAAACATATTATTCCAAAGTGAAAGTGCAACTTGGGCATGACCTTTACCACTAAAATGAAAACAATCTGGTGCAAAATAGCTAAAATCAGTTTCGTTATCATCATTCTCCGGTAATTTTGTTTCAGCCATAAATGGTTGTATAACAACAGTAAAATCATCACGTTGATCATATCGTCCAGTATTAATTAAGTCTAAAAGTGCCTGTTGATATTTCGGAATATAATCATCCAATATATTTGCTTGTTCAGTTGTTGGAAAAGCAGCACATGGACATGTTTTATTATAAAGTATTTGACATGCATAATTACCATTATAGAGTTCTTTAGCATGACGTATATCAAAAGGAAGAACGAGATTAACAAGTGTACGTGGTATCGGAGCTTGATATAATTTATCTAATGCTTCACGAACATTGAACATATATTGTTCTGGTGTATATTTAGTTAAACTTGAGTCTGTACAAAAATTGCACAAGTCATTTGTCTAAAAAAGATTTGTTTAATATTTTAGAGATTTTAGAAATTGACTTACACCAATAAAAATTGTAATCATTTTCCAATCATTATTCCAATCACATACGTTTTCATTCTTTATTCGATCAATTAGAAGTTCTGCTTGATAAAGAAGATCGACTGAATGATCGCTCGATTTAGCTAAACAAAAAAAATATATACTATAGACTATTTTTTAGATTTTTACATACCAACATTAAGTTGATTGTTTGTAATAGTTTGATTATCAGAAGATATAATAGATAATTTAGTAGAAAAACCTTTTAATTTCGAATTATATTCTAATAAAATGTTAGGTATAGATAAAAATTTTGAATATGTGTAATCTCCTCCAATAGACCAAGATATACCTAAACAAATAAATTATGAAATAGAATAAATTAATTTTAATTTATTATTAATACCTCGATATTCGGATAATAAATCAATGGGAGTAATAGCATGCGCACTTAAACCAGTTGTAAAACTATCACCCATAGCGCCAACACATTTTATATCACTTGGTCGAAGCATATGTACCGATGTAAGAATATTATACTTATTAGAAGAGTTTTCAATAGAACATGGAAATTGCTCATGAAAATTCCCATAGAGATAATCCGATTGAGAAAAAAGTTTTAATGACCATTTCGTATATTCTTCAAGAAATTTTTCATTATGACTAAGTTCTTCAATATAATCTGTATAATTCTCGATATTAACAGCAAGATTCTTGTTGAGAAGTAATATAAATAAAAAGATAGTAATACTAAAGAAGGTCATTGTTGTCAACGTCGAAAAAAATATTCATATGTTTGATGATATATATGTAGACAAGAAAGATTTACTTTAAAAAAAAGATAAGAGACACATTGTGTAAATCAACAAAAATTGCGTCACATGAGAAATAGAAGATAAACAATTACGTTCTATGTAAGAACTGAATTATTCAGCTAGCATTTCGTAAGAATTATTTCATTAATATAAATTTATTTTCATCAATATATCATGTTGCAAAAGTCACCATAGAAACAATATGAATGCCTATTAAACAATCAAGTGGTTTATAAAATGATGCGAAGATGTACTTCATAAAGTTTTTCGGTAAATATTTGTGTCTGTAGATGTTTCAACATACATAGTGATGCTAATGATAAAATTTGAATCACTTAAAAGTTGGTATTGGTTTTGAGATCCAGCATTGACTGGAGTTCTCTCTACCAGTTCTTAAGATTCATATCAGCTATGTATCTCTGTGTCGTAAATTATATTCAATGTGAATCTATTTTTTTAATAATATCTGTGCATTGAGTGCTGTTGCTTTATCAAGCTTGACATTTTTAGGTTAGTTGCTACTCCTTGTTTAGTCAACCACAATATGTGGAAGCACATAAATATTCACATATATATATATAAGTAATTTTTTAGTACATAGTGAACATGAGTTTAGTTTATCAGGAATCTGAGTAGACATGACACATAGGATGAAAACGAACAAAATAATACGAAACAAGACCAGAATAAGTATCACGTACAAGAGGGAAGAAAAAATTATATCAAAATTATATCACGTAATTGATAAGGATTGTTCCCAGTCTGAGAAATTGTGCATATAGAATAAATTCTTGTCTAATTACTGCATTATTTTAAAGAGCATGAGTATTCATGTACCCAAACAATTTTCATCAGAGTGTCTATAGAAACTTCGATCAATTTGCATGTGACATATATAAAAACTAAAAAGCGAGAAAAAAATGGTGAAAATAAATTTATTGAAACAAAAATTTGCTTTTTTAGTCATATGAAACTCGTCAAGCATTTTGTATTATTCACGTTTTATGCTAAAAATAGAATTTGTTTTTTTTTCTCATTCTACCTCATAGTTGAATACAACGACACTTTTGAAGAAAAAAATAATAAACGCACACAGCAAGTATGCCGTCCGAACAAGAAACTGCTAACGCTTTACCTTCGAATTTTGATGTTGCCGGCTTAAAAAATGCGTTTAGTAATCCTACCCAAGCTTTTCAAATGTTAGACAAAAATAATGATGGAAAAGTAACAAAAGAAGATTTAGAAATATTATTAACACAATTTGGTATCCAAGGCATGGCTGCTAAATTTATGGCAAAATTAATTTTTAAGAAATTGGATGCTGATAAAAGTGGTACAATTGAACCAAGTGATCTTGTACATGCTGATGGTATTCTTACAAGTTTATTAAAAATGAAAAAAACTGGTCAAAGTGCTTAATATTACATGAGAAACTAAATTGATTTTGTTTATCAAATTATTATATGTAATTGTTTTTTTTCTTTCGATTAAATTTTCTTCTTTAAAAACAGAATGATGTCTACGAAAATGTTTGATTTGGCTTTCAAAGCAAAAGGTAATGTTCTCGTTCTGTATTTAGAAATGTGCAAAGAGACGCTAATATATTCTATTACCGGACAATTCATTAGATAGAATATGAGTGGAGTTTTATACAAGATAAGATATCTATGGAGAAATCTCTTCAGTTAATTAATATATGTCTGTGCATATAGATGACACATGTGTAAATCTTTTTATTGAAAAATAAAACAAAAAAGTAAAACATTTGTTATACACCAAGATTCGTTAAACCTGCGCGAGAAGGACGAGGTTCAAGTTTTAATGAAAGAATATAACATTGATCTTCACTTAATAGACTTGATTGATCTAATAAATAAGCACATACACGTGCATTATGTTTAATTTTGAATGCTGTCGATTGAAAACGATGTATTTCATTTATAATATGTGTTTTCTGAAGAAAAAAAAATAAAATAGAATAAAATCAAAAAGTTCAATTTCTTTTTTTTACCATTCGCATTTTTGAAAAATTAATTAATTGTTTATCTGATATATCTTGTGAACTTTCTTCAATAAATGTTAAATCTGATAAATATAAACCAAGATATGGTACACATGGTGGATCAACTCTATTTATTTAAATAACAAAAACGAATTCTATTATAAATTTTCCTATTTACTTTGTTAATGTATCACGTAAATTTTTAAATTTTCCATCAGAATGAACAAGTGCTTGAAGTTTATTTATAACTTGTTTATTTTGTTTTGATATACGATCCCATGTTTGTTTTAAACGATATACTGAACTATTAACAAATGCAGCCATTATCTGAAGTACACCATTAAAATTTCGTAAATATCGACATATATCAGCAACAGTACCTAATCGAAATATGAAAGTAATATAAAATCTGTCTAGTTAAATACATGTGTAATCACATAATAACACTGGCAAGTTTTCTATTAGTTTATTGGCGAAATGGGAAAGAGACATAACTCACCCACTTTTTTTTCACGATTTTCCTGAGAAGATGTTCGTCGCAACATATAAAAACATACATAATCTTCGAAATGACAAAGATTTAAAACACGCAGGGTGTGCGTGCGAGTGTATAAGTCATTCTTCTCTCATACTGCACAACCACATCCACACTGTCACCCGATTTCGTGACAATATTTTACATACTGACGAGCACTTCGTTCCGATTTTCCTGTTCTTATTTAACTATAATCTCCTGACTGAATATGTTTTACGGACTCTCGATAAAATTGGTAAAAAAAAAGTCGATTCCGAACACCTGGACAAATCAACAGGTGTTCGGGACATCTAATACGTTTTGTCTTTGTCTCGGCGAAATTCGTGAATCTTAAAATTTCGTGAAGTATCAATGTATTATACTAATTGACATATTTCGCATAGGACAATTCTTAGTAAATACATACTCCATTTTTCAATACATTGAACACGAGCATTAACATTTGATTGCGTTAATATTTCTGTAATAACAAGTCGACACATCTATAGATAAAAAGTAAATAAAATAAATATGTAAAATTTATTGTTTTTACTTCATTAAATCGTTTAGATACAAGAGCTACATTTGGTGCTAAATCATCTCGTCCAGGTTTCATCCAACCTAATAGAAGTAATTCTCTAGGAAATCAAGCAAAAAATTATTTTTAATAAAATGAAATTAAGAATATATAATTGCTCTTACTCGCTGCCTAAGGCATAGAAAAGTTTATGATCGATTAATGTCATTTGTTCAGCAAGATCTGAAACAGCAATTTGTTCGAATGTTGCATTTGATGGCTGAAAAATATTATTTCATTAAGCAAAAAAAGAAACTATATATTTTATTATTATACTTGTGTTGGATTTAGAAGTATACGTAATTGTTCATTTTGATCATCGATTTCACTTGTTTCTAATTGTTTTATAATTGCAGCAGCTGCTTTATTTTCAGCAGCAATTAAATAATCATTCATTAACATATCTTGTAAAAGTTCAAGAACCATCTATTATTAATAAAGAAATACATTTTATTCAGATATAAATTTAGAAAAAAAAAACAATATTTTTACTTCTTTTAGTTTGGGATTGGTATGAAAATCCTAAAATACAGAAAAAACAATGAATGACCTCATGATTTGGTATCAATTAGAAAACTGATTCGCTAATAGATACGACGAGGGTGTTTATAATCCCATATATATCAAGAAAGAACTGATACTTTGTATAAAACTTCATACATACTAATGGATGTTTTGTTAACCAATGTCTAAGAACATTAAGAACACGCATTGTTGAAGCTGTATTAACAATAATATATTCATTTGTTCTTTGTTCTCTATTATTTAATGGTACTACACAACTACTAGCAGTTCCTGATTGAGTTGAAACTGAACCACCACCTTCGATTATATAAATAATGGGAAAAATAAATATGATATATATTATAAAAATATACCTGGATTACTTCCTAATCGTTCATGTCTCATGCCTTTAGGTGATTCACCTGATGTTGCAACAGCAAATGCTTGTGTAGCTGCTGCTGAACTTATTCGTCGACGAGATGATCTTGATGATGTTACAACAACACCAGGTAAAACTTTTTTTAATGAACCTTCAGCTGCATTTCGTAAACTTTGTCGTGGTGACGAAAGAACTTCACTAAGACGTTTTGCTAAAATAAAAAAATTAGTTCAATAAAAACAATGAGAAAAAAATGAGTTTATTTTTTTATTACAAAGCCATTGAACATTTTCTTTCGTTGTTAGATTTGCTTGTGAATCTAATCTCAATCGTTGTTGGCTTTTTGGTACTGTTGGACTATCACTTGTTTCAACACGAAGAGATTTTTTTACTTCATCCTATAGATTATATAATATTTAAATAAAAGAAGGAGAATTTTAAAACAACAAATTTTACTTTATTTATATTAATTATTTGAAGATTTTCAGAAAATCTTATTCGAGAAGGAGTTTCCGGTGAACGTGGAATCTCAACTCGAAGATCATTTGATAAATCCGATGATGGAAAATCAAAAAGAATTTCTAAAGAATCGTAATCATTTGTTTTTTGTTTTGGTTTGGATATTTTATCAGAATTAAATGCTTCATTATTATTATTTGAAGAATCTTTTTTTTGTTGTTCATCAAAGCATAATGATACACCATCAGAAAATGTTTCTGATGATGCAAGTGGAGCTAATGTATTATGTAATGGATCAACTAATTCTCCAGTATCAATTGATGGAGTTGTTGGTAATACAGGAGTTACTTCACTACATTTTGTTAATGTTCCTAAATTCGAATGATAAATATAATACCGATATTGAATTAATACAAAAGAATGAATATAAATACAGTCTGCAGTGTATTTTTTTTTCTACCTCAAAATTCATCTATAAAGCTGAGAATGATATACTTGGGTTCATTATCAAACATACAAGATAAGGTCCTAAGTCTTGTGTTTTATTTAGTGTGTGGACTGCGTAGGCGACGCCCTTCCAAACTATGAGACTCAGACAAAGTACTGTTAGGTGACCCCCACCCAGAATTTTCTTTTCGCCCGTCTGAAAAAAGAAATCTGGATAAAATAATGCCTAAGTCTACTATATTTTGCAGAGTTTATTATAACTGTTGGGTTTATCAAGGAGGAAAAAGCGGATCCCCAACGATTCCTGTGGATCGTATTTTTTTTCTTCATTGAATATTTGCCAAATATACTCATTCTTCTGATTTATTATAGTAACTAATCAGTGAATCTTAATACATTCTAAAATCAGTGTGAGGTGTGGGTGTGAGTGTATAAGTCATTCTTCTCTCATAGTACACATCCACAGCCATATTGTCATCCGATTTTCTGAACATATTTTACATACTGTTGAGCATTTTGTTCCGATTTCCCTGAATTTTTTTCAGCTATGGTTCCCCTGACCAACATGTTTTATAAACTCCCGGTAAAAATGGTAAAAAAAAGTCGAATCCGAACACCTGGACAAATTATCAGGTGTTCGGGACACCTAGTACGTTTTGTCTTTGTCCCGAATGTTTACCAAATATGCTCATTCTTCTGATTTCTTATAATTACTAATCAGTGAATCTTAATACATTCTGAAATTAGTGTCTCTTCTTTTCTATCATATTTAATCCTCAAACTGATACATATCTTGTTATTCTCATTCTATTCTAAATAAATAATTGTACAAATACATAGTATTTCTACTATTCATTACTTTTTTCAGTATGTTTTGTTGTGCTTATTGCTTCGTTTTGATCAATACCTAGCAAAAAAAACAAAGTTTCATCTAAATCAACAAATATTTCTTTTTACTTAATGCTCGACGAAATGTTCCAATATGTGAATGTCTTCTTAGTTCACGTTCTTGTTCCGCCGTAGGTGTAGTAACAACTGTTAATGAATCAATGCCTTTGGAATGAAAACAAACTTAATTTACGAAAAATTCTTTTTGCTTTTTTCTAAATTCTCACCTTCTGATACACGTCGTGTTATGTCATTATCATGATCAACGATTTGTACTTTTTCTCTAAAATAAATCAAATAAATTCTTTTAAAATAAACAAATATTTCGCAATTACTTTTGTAATTCATCTGTTTTATGTGTTGTTCCATCAAGATCATTTGTATGATCAAGTGATGTATGTGGTGATGATTTATAAACACGAACTAATGTCTCCATAACCGTGTATGCATCTGTATATAAACGATAAGTCAATAGAAATGTATTTAAGAAATCAATTGATAAAAATCGTAAATCTGTTAGACGTTCAAGTAAACGTTCAACAGTTGCATGTCGAATCTAAATACGAAAAAAAAACAAAAATGAAATAATTTTATTAAATAAAAAACAAATCTCACTTGTGGTATTTTACATGAGTCAAGTGTTTTAGAATATTTAATTTCTGAATCATCTTTATATAATTTAAGATCAGATCTAGAAGAAAATAAAATATTCGAAATTTATTTTTATTTTAATTTTTACTTGACAGATTCTGGTGACATAACAGATGATGCATTACGAAATGATCCTGTAACTAATTCTGTATAACGAAGATTTTGTAAACATTGTGCTATATCAGTACACCATTCAGATTTATGTTTATCATCATTAGCAACAAATGTTGCTGAATATGATGTTTGATCACGTGATTCAACAATTAAACGAAATAATCGATTAAAATTTATATCGTATTCACCAGTTTTACTATCTGTTATATTTGAATTTGTATCATCAACACTATCTTCTTCAGTTACAGCTGCAAGTAAATGTTGAGGATCAGCTGCTAGATCTTCAACAAGTGTTACATCAGCTAATGGAATAACACCACAACCCTGAGAATAATTATTCAAGAAATATTTAAATGTAGAAAAGTATAAGATATAATACTTTAACAAGATGTAATTTTCCATTCGATGCTCGAGTAGTTGTAACAAGATGATTAGAAAAAAGATAACATTGTACAACAACTTCATTACGACGAATATCTCGTGGTGTAAATCGTTGTCCAAGACTTGGTTTATTTCGATCATTATTCAATAATATAAGACTATCTGGAGAAGAAAAAAATAAAAAATAAAATATTTGCAATGTACGTCAAGCATTTCAGTGCTTGTCAAATATTCGTATGAGTATCTTTTGTAGCCATGAAATATAGCGTAACGTAGGTAAATCTATAATACGGGAAAACTAGTTCGTAATAAGATGCATGTTTCTGCATCGATTAGAAATTATATACGACTTCTAATTACAAAAGTCAGTATAGGAATGATTTTCTATCCTCCGATCATGACAATTTCATGAAACACGAATTGAAAGCGAGTGTTACGACTGGAGATTTCACCCCCTTCCTCTCTCTCATACAGACTTGATGGGTACATTAGAAATTACTTATCATATATCATGGCAAATGTTGAGCAGGGATTATGATTAGTGGTAGGACAGTTCACAGTTCCAGGTTCAGATAAACTGGTCAAAAGAATTGCCAATACAATTCTTTGAATAGAGCTGAACTCTACCAAACAGTTCAGTTCTATTCAAAGAACTGTTGAGACAGTTCAGTTCCTTTCGAAAGAACTATTAAACAGTTCCCAAGAACGGAACTAATATGGAACTGTCCTACCCCTAACTATGATAGATGTGAGTTATAACTACTATAGATCGTGACAGACGTTATTAATTTATGTTACAGGAGTTATTTCGTGTTTCACATTTTAATTCCAGAGGGATTGCGCTAATAACTTTTTTTATGTTGAATATGTGAGTGTTGAACTTCGACCCGAATACTTAATCTAGACTTTCTTCTTTGTACATTACCTTGTCGACAAAGTACTTGATTGACATCCAATAATACATCACATCCTTCTGCAATTGATCGTTCAATAGCTAAATTTGCACGAATATGTTCTGTTTCTGATACTTCATCATGCATAATCTATGCAAAAAACAACAACAAATGAAATAATATTATTTTTTGATTCTTGAAAATTTTACTTTTGATAGTTCTTCCAATTTAGACTTTGTGTGTTCAAGTTTTTCTCTTTCAACATGTGCATGTGGTGTATGTGATAAACAATTTGCCAATGTTACTATGTAATATGGAATCTAATAAATAAAATACAAATTAAAATAAGAAAAATCGTTTTTCTTTTTATTGTATAACAAACTCGATTCATTGGTAATACTAAAAGTGTATCCAGTGTTAATCCTTCACATGCTGCTTTTGTTTCACATCGTTCAAGAAATTTATTAAACTCTGAACTACTTAGTTTACATTCAACTAAACACTATAAGATAGACAATTTTATTATAATAGAAAAAACATAAATAATAAATAAAATTGTTTACTTGTAAACTATAATGATGATTTCGAACATATTCTAAATAAATATGTAACATTGATATAAACATATCGAATAAATCACCTGAAATACAAAAATTTTATAGATAAAATAATATTTTATTCTATTCTACCGGTATAAAATGTTGGCCAATTTTCTAATTTTTTTGATAGACCTTTATAGAATATTTGATGTAGAAATAGAATAATTTCACTGAAAATAATTTAATAAGATATGTATATAGAAAAAAAAATAATTCTTTTTATATACGTATTAAGAAATATTGAATTAACATCCTCATGCGTAATTGTTGGTTTTTTTGAACTAGCAGCTAGAAAAGACAATCAAATTTGATTTATTTTTATTATTTGAAAAAATAATAATCATTTACCCATTCGAAATGGTCGTACATAATTAGCAACAAGTATTTCTAATTGATGAACATAATCTCGTTCACTTTCAACCAAATTAAATATGATATTATTACGTTTACGCATTAATTCAGCATGTGGTGAACTAAAAGACAAAACCATATTTTTTTTGGATGGTTCTTATTCAATAAGTGACAAGTTTCCTTTTTAAATATAAAAACTTAGATAAACTTTCTCTCGAAAATGATCATAACTGAACTTAATTCTTAACATTTATCCAAGATACCTTTAGAAAACTAATAAAACATTCTTCCGTAATCTGTGTAGATATATTATTTATTTATCCGTTCATAATGCTAGCTGAATACTCTTCCGTTCAATATAATAGGTACAAATTATTCTATTTAAAAAGATATGAATTGCATATTAATATTAGATAAGTACTTATAGTGCATATGGAAAAGTACATCAAACAGTCGAATTACCATTGATTTCGACATGGTTTAAAAGCAATCTAATCTAGTGATTATACACATTTGACAATTTTTGTAATTCTAATTTCAAAAGAAAATGAATAATGATGATGCAATTATCAATTCCATAGAAAAAAAAACAAAAATAGAATGTTCTTAAACCGTCCTTAAAGTCAGTAATCAAATTGATAAATATTTTTAAAAGCTTTTTCAAAATTACTGATCTTTGTCAACAACAGATGAAAAATTAATAATTTCATTTGTTCTCTACGGAAAAGAAGTATTAGACTAAATGTCTAATATTTTTAAAATATATCGAGTCATTTTAATCTAAATAATTACAGCACGTGTATAGTATAACTATAGAATTTTTTTCTTTATTAATAAATAAAATCAAGTAAATTTTTAAAACTTAAAATAATATCAAAAAGAAATATAAATTACCATTTATAAGTCTCACTTCAATCTCGTGATTAACAAAAAAAATATTACTATAGCTCTTTGTCATTCAAATATTGACAGAAATAAGACTTTTAGTTCCTACGTCTAAAATTGTAGACATGCAAAAACTAACGTCATTTGAACGACCATTATAAAAGATGGATTTTACGTCTGACAAGCAATAAATTATCTTCAATATCGTTCTAAGGAAATCTTCTATCTGTCTGATCTTTTTATAAAACTTACCGTATATATTCTTCAACAATTCGTTTCCATCGTTGTCTATATAACCAACCTCGACAAAGACTTTGAACTTTTTTTATTTTTCGTATTTCAGCTGAATCTTCTTCCGCAATACTTTTTGTTCTTAATAAATGATGTTGTCGTCGATAACGAGATAACTAAAATTAAAAATAATATCAGACAAATAGTAAAATTCATTTATTGATTTTACTTCACGACGTAATTCTCTAACTTCAGCTGAAAGTTCTTCAACTTGTTGTAAATATTGATATTTTGTTTTAGCTTCACTTTCATAAACTTGAGATAAATGTAAATATTTTTGTTCAATTTCTTCTTTAACCGATAATAAACGATTATAACTACAAAAAAAAATTTACATAAAATATTTGTTTTTTCTTGTAATTATTTTCTTTGTAAACCTGCATGATTGAATGCATTCAATCCATACTTGACAATCACTTTCGGATTCAGCTGCAAATTCAATTGCATTACGACCATCACGTGTATAAGATATTGAGAAACAATTCTAAAGAAAACGAAAGAATTATTGTCAATAATGAATATTTTCACTGTTGTTTTTTAGCAGAAGAAAACAACATGACATCTTTTATTTGATTATAAAATGAACGACTATGTAAATAGAAAGTCTATGCGAGAATTTAATACTTAGACATAATCACTATTTTATCTTTTAAGAAGTACTTTTAATAACTACATAAATCATATGTAAAATATTAAATCTTCGAATTTTATTTCGTGACTATAGTAACTAAATGTGCGTGTTAAACTATGAAAAACATTCAATTGTCTTCCGTTCTGACGATGTATCTGTCATAGTTTAAGATAAAAATCAACAGGACATTATCTCTCGTGATCTATAGGATACTGATATTCTTCTAAGTTTTCAAATCTCATAGGATTATGAAAAAAATAGCTTTTCTCTTAGAACAGTAACTAATATTGAACTATAGTCGATTTGAAGAAATTAATTAGAATTTACTATTAAAATCATTAAAGATTCTATGAAAGATCTAGTTCACTGGTGCATGGTAACAATCAACTGAAAATTTGTTCTAAATGAATTTTTCAATATAAATCATTCAAACATAAATAATAAACAAAATGATGGTTTTTTTAAGGTTTTATTCTTTTATTAAATGAAACCTTTTTTTTGAAAAAGTAGAATAAACGGATATAAATAAATATTAATTAATATTTATATACTTACTAATTTTTCTCCATCTTTACTGTTTTTAGCTGGTGAACGTGATGAATAACAACTCTCAAGGAAATAGACACCTTGTGGTTTAGATGAATTTACATTTTCATAATAGAAAAGTAAATTTTGATATAAAACAAACCATTTTAATTGCCATTTATTTGGTGAGGATGATGGATCTTGTCCACCACGACGAGAAAGATATCCACATTCACGATTTTCTAATCGTGCTTTTATTGCTAAATTATATAAATGTTCTTCATTCACTTTAAAAGATGTACGTGTCATTAAAATTGCCGATAAACTTCGTAAACCTAGCCAAGAATCAGATGAAGCCATATGTGAGCGTGACTTGGTCGATTGTTGATTAGATAGAAACTGCATAAATATCTAATCAATTAATATATTCTAGGAGACCATGTTATATCTGTAATAGAAAACTACTCATGTGTATAAACATAAAACAGATTCAAATGAGAAAAGTTTATTTTTATAATTTTTCCATATGCTATTATTTATTGTCTGATATATGCTTTATCTCAACTATTAAATTATATATGTAATGAAAACAATTGTGTGTAGGAAGAATATCATTTACTTCAGAACATATTGAATAAAGATTCATTAAAAAAATTATTCAATGTGTTTCTTAACAAAAAAAACGACTACAAAAAATTTTTTTTTTTCTTCTATCAAAAAGTTTATTTTCTATATTATCAATGATAATACTCAAGAATTAAGCGAGAAAATAGAAGAAAAAATAAAGTTTATGCTCAAATTATGCTGATGAATTACTTGAGCTGTCAAAAATAGAAAATAGTTTTCTTTAAAAAAACCGGCTTTGTTCTATTTATATCGGAAATGAAACAGAATCGACGAGAATAACAGTATCTTTTTAATTTCTTTCTTTTTTCATCAACACAAAAGATACCCTCATGGTTGTAGTCATCTGTAGGTTTTCATAGGTAATCAAAATATCCGATGAATCATATATATATATAGATAGATCCATGCTTATTTAAACTAACTATAAGATTAACATGATAATAATTGTACTTACATATTATTTTTCATTAACTGACCAATTCTTAAAAAGAAAAACTACTAATCTTTTTTTTATTAAAACTCGAATAAAAACGACCGAAAGAAAAAAAATAATTATAAGTATTAATGAGTATAGAAGAGGAAAGTCACAAGGGGAATCTTTAGTTACAGCAATCTTTTTGTTGCTTCCGCTAGAAAGATATAGTTGAGTTGTTTTGATCACTATCAAGTAGATCTAATATCGAAACATTAGTATCGACTTATATATCATATAATAATAAATTATAAGAAAAAAAAAATAACTGAACAAAATTTTTTTCCTCGATACAATAATAAATGAACGTGGATAATATGAAAGCAACTGTTAGATATAGCGTGAATTTTTCTTTATTTATTATTGATATATGCGCATTTTGAGTAAATAAGAAGAAAGAGAAAAAAAAATAGACAGAAAATCTATTTGAACTTTTTCCATTGCTAAAAAAGATAATTGAGATATAAGGTGATACTTCACGTCTAATACAGAGAAAATTAAAATTCTATTTATTAGGTTTAGTGTGTAAAGAAAAAAAACGTAGTGAGAATTTATTGTGAACCAAAAATGATTAGATATTCATATTTACTAACTGAAAAATCAGCAACTATAGTTGCATGTCAAGCATTTATTCTCTATTGTTCTTTTCAAGTATCGCATACTTACTGAACATTTAAAGGTCAATTGATTAACAGATTAGATGTTAATTTTATTAATAAAGATTTAGGCTATATACATATCCAATGAAAATTGTAGTTAGTTTATTGTTTGACTATTTTTTTTATATTTAACAAAAACTATCAGATAAATAACTTACTTGATTATTTTTTTCCTATTCTCATTTATGTTTTGTTAATAAAATAATTAATGTTAGTCACGAATATTGAGAATAGAAATATATATACTCTCTTTGACAAGTAAAAGAATATCAAAAAACAACTTCATCGTCATCATCTCTTATTCCCTTTTTTTTCGCTAGTCTTCCTCTTTGCTTTTGTATAGTAAAAAAAAATGCATGCAAACACATTAGCTAGAGAAAGAAAGGGCGAATGTCATCAAGCGCATACTACTATAGATGATAACTACGTCAACATTTAACATAGAAAAAAAAAATATAAAAACATAAGCATCATTAGAATTTGTCATCACATTATAAAACAAAAAAAAGAAACACCAATAAAGAAGATGTTATGCATGTCAATGAGAAAATTCTTGTTCTTTAGCTTTCTAATTAATCTTCTAAAATGAAAAGAACTTGACTTCAAAGAAAAAAACTACATAATGATAATTCTTTGACTTTGACAATTAAAGGATTGAATTGTTCTTGTCATGTTATATATAATCAGATTAATGAATAAGTATACATCAATTAAAAAGTAAATGTTTGCAATGATAAGAATAACATATTTTACAGAAGAAAAATAAAATCTAATCTTATTTCAAGGTTAATTCATATAATTATTCACGCACACTCACTTGTGTTCCTGTATTATATTATTCATTGCATGTGCATACATTCAAATAATCGTATTTTTATCTTTAACAATTGATTTGCCTACTTTTAGAATATATAAATATAGACGCAATTTAGCGTATGACTATAATTCGAATATTTCATCACATCTCAAGAGAATACGTTTTTCCTGATCACAGTATTATTATTTCCGTAAAATTCATTTGAATACAAATAAGAGCACATTAAATGGATTGATAGTTCAATTTATTTATGTCTTTTTTTTTAATATATATATATACACCCATCCCGGTGAGAGAATTCTATATACAAACACGCATATAGTAAAAGAGAAATGTTTATTTATACATCTGACTGGATTAAGAATAATAATATAAAAAAAAGAAGAAGAGATATCCGTCATATAATTTATGGAAAGTTCTTATATCTGACCCGTTGAGAAATATAAAACAAAAGGGTGTTTTCTGTTTTTTTTCATTTATAAATGTACTTCAGGTGTATTATTAGAAGTTGTAGTTGTTCCATTTGTAACTCCCGCTAAAACATCACGACTAATTTGTTTCATTAATTCTTGAGTTTTACGACGATTACGACGGGCAGCATCAGCACGTAAATACGGTGCTTTTTTCAAATCTAAATAAAGAAGAGAAAAAAAACATCATTTCCATAAAATAATAGAAATATATTGAAATAAGCTAAACCAATATAGACCATCGAATATTAATCAATAATATGTGACAGAACATCAAGTACTATAATCATAACAATATGTTTTTTTTTATTTATTAAAACTTCATCCTATATGTCAATGATTTATTATTGTACGACAAGAGTGACAACTGACAAATATTTTCTTTATAATGATATCATTAAAAATAACTTCTATAGAATTTTATATTTATTGACCTCGAGCTATACTAAAACAAGATGAAATATCATTAACAGAATTTTATTATTAAATAGTTAATTTTAAAATTTAGATGAAATATCATATCGTATACATATTAATTAGAAAACAAAATATATGAAATCGAATAGGATATATAATTAAAGTTATCAGATGAAAATCCGTGTTTAATAAGAAAAATTTTCTTAAAACAATAATAAATCGAAATATTTTTAGACTTATCAATTCTTATAACTAAAAATTAGTCAAGTTAAGTTTGCTATAAGTTTTCGCGAAAAACTCTAATCATCTATTTTTGATTGCTCTAATAGATACTCTGGACTGTACTGAGTCGACTGGTGATGCTCAAGAAAAAAAAGCACATAGTTACAAGCTACAATGTGTCGAAAAACTCCAAATTTGGAACTCACTTAACTTGACCCTGAAAATTGCACTATTAAACTCCTTCAACCCGAGGCATTTATTTAATTAAATCGTTTGTTTTTTACTTTAAGTTTCTCATATAAAATTAACATACCATCTAATAAAGTTTCAATTGTACCATCTGTCAATGCTTCACGTTTAATTAGTTTTTGATCTTTTATTGCTTCTTTTCGTCCTTTTAATTCATTTAATAATTCTTCCTAAAAAAACAAATAAGATTATTATGTACTGTATATAAATATTAGTTTTTTCGAAGCAAGTTTTAAGCAAAGGAATAAAAAAAGGACATAGATATTGCTGATGAATTTGAAAGAACAAGACAATAACTAAATATTACCTGGAATGTTAAAACATTCATTGCCTACTTATTTATTTAGAATTTTTATTTCTAATAAGACAAAAATAAATGAAATTTACCTGTGAACGTTTATTAACTGAACGTTTATTTGTTGGTTTATCATTTATTAGAGCAGCTTCACGAGCTAAACGTGTTCGTTCTTCATTATCAATGCGTGCTTGCTAGAAAAAATAAAATAAATAATTTAATCATAATTATATTAAAAATTCAAACTTGATATGCTCGTTGAAATTTAACAAAAACAGAAAAGAAATTTGATGGATTTTGTGTACGTGGTGTTTCACCTGGAAATAAAATAATTTTTTTTATTTGAATATATATATCGTCTCTTACCATAATATTCTACACATTGATTAAATGAATCTTGTGCTAGTTTAGCATCTTTTATTAGACGATCAATCTTAGCTTGAGCTATATTAAGAAAATCTTCTAACGGACGTGTTTCAACATTCTAAAAACAAATTCATAAATATTAAATTTTATATTTATCACCTCATACCTTCATTGTTTGTCGAATAACAAGTTCTTTTTTCGCATTATCTAAACCACGTGTTAGATCTTGTACATCGATTTGAATATTTTCCAAGGATACTAAAAAGAAAAGTTTTAGAAAATGAAGTAAACTTGAAACTGATCAAGTCATTTTAAACTATTAACGAACGACACTAAAGTGAAACCGATTATAAGATCAATCAAGAGCATAATAATATAATGGTTAAGGCTTAAGTAAAGCCTCCTAGTAATGGCTATCTCTTTGGATTATCTATTTGTAATAGAAACTCGTATTTAAATAAGAGTATATTTTATTTGAAAGAAGCTTGATGTAATCTTAAATGAATAACTTGACTGTTTCTAAATTCCTCGAATTCGCTAATACCAAAGTTCTTTTCTGTCTAGATATGGCCCAAACACAAATTCAAACTGTTTGGGAGTTTGGGTCTTCTTTTAATTGCCATCAATGTATCAAAAATAATGTCTTCTACAGATTAAAAAAGTACAAACTCACCAAACTCAAATAGTTTGGGTTTGGGTCAAATCTAAATTCTGTATCGGTACTAATATAATACGTCACTTGATATTTGCATCAAATTTGAAGAGAGAGTCATCTTCCTAGTAGGAGTAAGGATACTATCAGAAATAGATTGGCCTTATTCTATGAATCTAAACTGCTCTATAATTGAATTGAGGTATTATTTTTATTAACCTTGTGCAGCTTTTTCAGCAGATTTAAGTTCATTATCAAAATTTGTTATATCATGAAATCGTTCTTCAACTGTTTGAACAATAAAATGAAGTAAAGTTAAACGTTTATCATGTGTTCTTGTATCAGATAACTATAAAAAGAAGAAAAATGAATAAGTTCAAATAATTAAATAAATAGTTTGTATAATTTACAATTTCTAAACTTGCTAATTTAAATCCGTAAGCCGGACCACGTTTACTACTGTTCATATAATTACCAAAAGCAAGTACAATCTAAAATATATAATAATAATTAAAACAAAAATTGAATTCTTTCTTTTTACCTCAAGGAATTTTTTAAATCTTGAACTATTTTTTAATGTTGTTGATGCTGTTATGATTGCTTTTAATTGTGGTGTTAAATTTTGATTAACATCATCAAAATTAGCCATAAATGAAACAACATTTAATTTTTGTGTTAATCTTTCTATTTTAGTAAGCTAAAAAGAGAAGGAAAACAACCAATGAGAAAAGTTTTTCAAAATTGTCTTACTCCATGTAGAAATCGATCTTCATCCGATAGATTTACTATTGATTTTCCATCGGATAAATACGATGAGAATGCTTTGATTTCGGATTCAGTTGGAATAAAGTGTTGTAATATATCAATTGTATCGATTGTTAAAATTTTTAAATCAAGACTAGATGAAAAAATAAAATTTCAGATTATTTTCATATGGAAGATAATTCATACTTATTCAATGCACGTATGATTGTATTTACATCTAGATCAAGTTTCCGCCGAGCAATAGCTAGAGAAAATATGAAATTTTTATGACATGTTTCAATTTTATTATTTTTCTTTACCTAAATTTCGTTGTCTTTGTGGATCGAGTAGTGTTAAACTTTCTGGAACTTTAACAAATTTTTGTTTTAAATGTGGACTAACACTTGTTTGATTAACTGGAAGACCTGAACCTGTTTTGAATAATTCTTCGAATGTATCAAAATCAATTAACTAAGAAAAAAAAAGAATTAATAATTCTTAAGTAAAAAAAAAGATATTTACTTTAAAATATTTTTCATCATCAAGTTCAGAAAAAATAGTTCCACGAACTTGACCAGGTTTTAATGATGTCCAATTTAGATTTGGTAATTTATATTTCGTTTCAATTTTCTTTTTTATTGTCATTGAACCGGGTGGAGGATCAAGCAATCCGGGAGGTGGTGGTGGAATGCCAAACATTGGAGGAGGCTATAAGATATACATATATATATGTAGAAATTATTAGTATTTTCCAATAGAATTTTAACATACGGGTCCCGGCGGTGGTGGTGGTGGAATAAAATCTGTAAAAACTAAACCATTTAAAGAAAAAATAAAGATAATTGTGCTTTACTTGGAGGTAGGGGCGGCGGTGGAGGTGGTGGTATAGATGTATTGGATACTGTAAGCGTACTATTGTTATTCGTGTAATTTGTTGGTCCATTTGGTGGTGCACCAGGAGGAGCTGATGAGATTGATGACGAAGAACCATTGAGAGATCCTAGAAGATATAATTATGTATCGAATTAAATTATTTTCTTGATAGTTAACGATTAAACATACCTCGTTCTTGCTGAGATTGTTTCAGTATAGTTAATGTATGTGAAATATCATCACGTTCTTTCTATTAAAATAAAATCATACATATTTATCGATACACATATATAATTATAGAATTACTTTCGCATTTTCCACTTGTTCTTCAGCAGCTGACAATGCTTTTTGTAATTCAGCTAAAAAGAAAGAAGTTCGTATATAATCACTTAATATAACAAGTAACGCTCGTCCGAGGACTAGCTTAGCTCTTTCTCGTAGAAATGCATACTCTTCACATTTACTGAAAAAACAATTGAAAACCGTGAAAAATCGGTCTTCGATGTTTTTTTGACCTTTCCCCTCGTTATGGTCACCCAACGTACCTCAGATTCAAAGTCTCCGCATTGAACAACCTCTAGAAATGTCTTTTTCGAAAAATAAGTTTTCGATGTTTTTTTGACCCTGCGGACAAACAAGCAATCAAACAATCAAACAATTTATTCTTACCAATTTTATTAGAATTTCCACTTTCAAGTTCTTGTATTCTTTCATTTGTCTAATAATATATATATATTTTATAGATTAATATAAAAATAAGATTTAATCTTACAATTGCTAATTGTTCTTCTAACTCGGATACTTTACCAATAGCTTGTTGTTTTGTTTCAGAATCTTCAAGTAATTGTCCAACATCAAAATAATTATCGAGAAAAGCATGAATTTGTAATATAAATAAATCACATTCACTATGAATTTCCAAATATTTCTAAACACAAAAATTCTTTTTGTTTTTAGAAAATGAAACATTTCTAAATCATCTACTTTAAGACATTCATCAAGACCAAGTAATTTAAATTCTTCTTGTAAATATACTCGATAATTCATGTCTTGTACGGAATGGACAATTATATTAATAAATTGCATACATGCAACCTTAGAAGAAAAAAACAAATTAACTATAAATAAATAAAATTTTATTTACCATATAATCAACATTAAATTCTGATGGTTGTGTAAAAGATTTCATTAAAATTTCAAAACGATGTTTTTCTTGACATTTCTACAAAAAAACAAATTTTTTTTACAAGAATTTTCCTTTATTAAACAATATTTCTTACAATTCGAAAATTATCAAATGCTGCTAGTACCACATCATGACCTAATTCAACCAGACAAACAGCAGCAAGTAATTCTAAAATAAGTGCTTTACATCTATGAATAAAAATAAAAATAAATAATTAAGTTTCTAAAAAAAAAGCAAATTTTACCGATAATTTTTATGTTGTAAACTAAGTGTAATATAGTTGAGTGCCGAGGTATGTTGAATAACAAGATTAAAACCATTCTAAAAACGAAAGATTTGTTATTTATCTGGAATTATTCTTTTTTGATAAGATGATCGGATCTAATAAAAATCTTTCTTTATGTAACGTAAATGAAACAAATATGTCTTAAAATTCGGAAAATCTCTGATATCATTATAACAGAAGAGAATGATAATATTCTTTCATAAATATTTATGGTTGTCTACGTCTACCGAGTGTCATTCACCTTTACTATGCTCTGCACTTCTATTAGCAAATATACACAGACATGCAGCTTGAGAGTGTGGATTTGGTATCCATGCTTTATCCACACCCATACCTTCTCGTTAAAATCAAAACACTTGCCGATAGAACTGAACCTGAGCTTTCATAGTCCTACTTGCCCAATATTTCGAGGGCGATGCGATCGATCGCGATGAACATCTCGTGAGACTTTCTTTATTGGTAGCTAGTAGAAATTGAACTACGTTACCTCTCTTCAAATCAAATGATTTTTCTTCTTTCTTGTACATGTTTCTTTGGTAAATAAATTGCTGAATCTTTTTTTAAAAATTTTCCGGATTTTTTCCTCCGCATTTTTTCTTTCCGGATTTATTTTTCTCCGGATTTTTTACTTCCGGATTTTAGGACAATACCAATGAAACGATTGATCTAGTGTATTTGATCAAAATGCATGACATGATCTCATGATACACTACATCATATTGAGTATAGTGGTATGATATTTATCATTACAATTTCCTATTCGATATTCTACAAATTTTTCTTCTAGTCTCTTTCATGGCTAATTATCTTTCTCTTCTATTGTATTAATAATGAATTCTTGCATAATTTATTTCATCTGGGAACTGAATATTTTCTTTTTTTTTATTAAATCAATGATGAAGATTGATTTTACCTGATTATTCATAATCGCTCGAAGACACATGATACATAATCTAACATCATCAGTTGCTTCACCAATTTGATATTTTTTTAATTTACGATGTAAACGTTTAGCATCTGAACGACTTAATGTTGGTCCTTTTGAAACTCCTGGTGAATTTTCATCTGGATAATGAGTATTTCCATTGATTGCTGATGAACACATAGATTCATCCGAAGATTCAACTTCACTATAAATGATAAAAATATTTTTAAGATTTATTTTCCAAAAAAAACAAAATCTACATTTTTAAATTGACGTTAATTAATCTATCAGTTAATTCAACATAGCTTCTCACCTCAATAAACCGCAAGATAAGAGTTGTCTGTTGTTTAATGCTGAACTAGCATCATCTGGCTCAAATCTAATCTCTCCGATTATTAAATCAAATATCATAAAGAATATTAATCTTACCGCATTACTTCTAATGATGTTTTTAAATAATCAAGTAAAACATCAAGACCTTTATTTGTCGTATTAAGATAATCATGTACCCAACTAAAAGAAAATATGTATTCATTCTTATAGTAAAAAATTTAATTATTATATACCCAATATTATTTGTACGTAAAGATATTTCTAAACTTGACAATAATTGAGTGGAAAGTTCAACTGGTTGCTTTTTTTTCTATAGGAAAATTTTTTAGAAATAAAAAGAAACAAACATTCATTCAATTATTTTTAATTACTAAAGTTGATGCTTTTTCAACGAGATTAGCACCACGAATATATGTTTGTAAACCATTAATATAATATTCCGGAGGATGCTTAGCAATCACTTGATCCTAAAGATTACGATGAATCGAATGAAATGTTTTATTTAATTATTAATCATACTCGATCACGTATAATATCCCATTTCTTTTCAGCTGGAAAATCACGCAACATTTTCATTTTATCTGGTGGTAAATCCATTGTTGCCTATTTTATTTATTCCAAAAAATTTTATATACAAATGTAAACAATTTGACTTACGATCGTTTTTTGGAATAATTCTTCCAAAGTACGATCATCTGGCCGAACATGATTCATTTTATCAAAACTTCCATTATTCTAATAAATAATTAAATTTATTCTTAATTTAGCATAGTACAATATTTTTATTCTACTTTATCATATGTCTCAGATGAATTTATACTGGAATTTGATCGTATAGAACCACTTGTTTGCCATTGGGACGATAATATCGTCCCGTTTTCATTAGTAATTGTCGCCGTTGTGTTGTTATTATTGACGCATATATTAGAATATTAATTTGAATCTAAAAGGGCAAATGTTTGTTTTTAACATTTTTTTTCTTTCTCTGTACAATAAATAGAAAAAAAATAGAAGTAACGTGTGAAAAAAAAGTATATAATTATCTAAGAAAAATCTTTCGTTCTATGATACAAAATCAACATATTGATATAATTGAATATTTTATAATAATAAAAAATGAACGATACTATTGAAGTTGAAGAGAGAGAAAAAATTAATCGTAAAGAATAGTATGCACACATACAATATAAACTCATACACACTCGCTGTAAAGTCTCTTTCAATGACAAGTATAATCGGTCTATTTACTTACATAACAAAATTTACTTTACATAGAAGCAAAGCTTTTCTCTACTGTCCTTCTTTTTTAAGTAACATCACCATAAATAATTTTCAATAAATATTTCTCTTTCACTTATGATTTTCTCAATGATTCATCATCATGACTCAAATTCTCTAAAGCGGAAACAATATGACTCATTCTATAAAATTATTCATATTTGCTAGTAGAGAAATAGATATTAGTAAAGATTATCTATATATTAATCATAAACCATTGATTACGCCATCATTCGTGTACACCTTTAAGTGAAGGACATATACTACCGTTTCATTTATTTCTTTTATTGATGATCGAGATATGATGATGATTTTTGTTCTTTTGCGGGCTTCATAAGCTTACTAAATTTTTCTAACGTATTTTCTTTCTCTTTCGCAATTTATTTTAAAAGAAATATATATCGCGAACAAAGAGCCCAATCTCTATTCGTCATCATCATCATATAATAGCTTCCGAATGTTTTTTCGTTACTTAAACAAAAGCTACCGACAATATTGATAAAGGGCACTACGTTCAATAAGAAAAGAAGCGTTTTGTTGACACAACTAAAGGCATTCATGGCACTGAACTGATTTCATTCGCTTGTGTAACAAGTATGAATAACTTTACTTACCACTTCTATTATATGACTCTTAGAATGTTTAATATATAAGCCAAAAAAAAAAGAGAGCAAACAGATACAAAGAAGCATATAACGCAAACGAAGGTATTTATAAAAGAACTAAGCATATATAAATATTTTTTTTCATTGATTATAAAATCAAATCATGTTCAATATTTTATTTGTACTTACTTAGAAAATGTCTTAGAAAATCTTACGGAATAGCTTATCATAGACATTAGATTAGATCGAAAATAAAAACAAATAAAAAAAAAGAGAAGAAGAAGAAGAGAGTGAAGATGATGATGAACGATGATAATACTGACCGATTCTCTCATTGGGTTGTTTAGAAAGCAATAAGACAGTAGCGCATACAAAGATGAACTACGCGATAATGACATCTGTTGATTTTGATTGATTTTAAATCGTTTTTTCTCTTTTCTAACTAATGATGTATGTCAAAAGGTTTCTTTATTTTTATTGAAAGTTCATTAAATATGTATTTTATCAATTAAAATACGAATAAAATCTTTTGACTCTTTTTTTTGTATCATAGTAATATTTATCTTATCGATAAAAGTATCATTCAAAAAATGTAGAACACCTTGTCATAGAAAGTTAACTTATCTTTAATGACATTTTTCATATCTTGAATTAATAATCGGTTCATGATGTATGTGAGATAAGCACATACTATTATCGCAATATTTGAACTGATATGACATAAAACATAAGAATGTTATGTTTCATCGGATTATAATTTTTATTTTAATTATTAAACAAACATCTATATTTACAAATACATTTGAAAAATGAACAAACTTCTGTTTTTTTTCGTAATTACATGTCGACTGTATTCGGACATTTAAAATATACATACAAATACCAATTTCATTCATTTGGCACATCATTTCATTTTTTTACTATTATTAGAATTGTTTTTTGTTCTTAAATAATATCGGTTGTTGGTGAATATGCAATCGCTGTTGAATAAAGTGGTGATGATAATGGTGTAAAATCATCGATAGTTGAACTCACAAGTGATATACTACTCGAGAGAGAACTTGCTTGAATTAATTCAAATTCATGAGTTGGACTCTTTTTCATCGAGACTTTGTCTTGTATATCATATCTATGATAAATAAAAATGATATATAATATGATAGATATTCAATTTACTTACTGTTTAATCGGTATAGATTGAGTAGTTGTGGATAGTGATGGATAGATAATTGCATGTGTTTGCATATTTATTAATCCAAAAGCGTAATGACGCCATAGAGGTTTATTTACACTGACAGGTTTTATTGATGATGTTATATAATTATATTCTCTCGGTATAGATTTTCGTATATGGCAATATTTTGAATTGATAATATGTGGTCGTGATAGAATAATTTGATCTAAATTTAAGTTAAATAATTCTGAATTTCTTTACATTTTGTTAAGTCTTTTTGCTATGAACATTTGTTATGGCGATCAAAACATACTTGATCACCTTTTTATTTCGATTACGTACGGTTATTAAGAATGAGAAAAAATGTGACACGACTATTTGTCACGTAGACTCATTGTCTGTCTTATTTGTTTTTCATTATCTTATCGATTTCTACTCTTTTCAATTAACTATACCTTCATGTTAAGCTGTAAAGCTCCATTTTTCTAATAACTTTCAACACAAGTGTCATTTTACTTACCAACACTATCATAATCATCAAAACGTACAAATGCATAACCCATTTGTTTAGGATTTTGCGAGTAGGAATTAAACACACGACAATAAGTTATAGTACCAAATCGTTGAAAATAATCTATAAACATTTCTTTTGTTTCTCCAGAACATAAACGACTAATAAATAATTCATTGACTGTTAAATTAATACCTAATGATTCTGATAAATAATTACTATTTGTATATTGATTTATTGGTATTGTACGTTGAAGAAATATTTGTCGATTATCAATTGTATGTGGTCGTTTCGACATTAAATTATTCAATGAATTTAGATTTTTATATATAAAAAAACCTTTTCGTAATGACTGATCTTGATCATCTTTATATAAAATTAATTTTTCTATTTGTCCATATTGTGAAAAATAATTAATTAAGATTTGTTCAGTAGTTTTATAAGATAAATTTGAAAATTGAATTTGTTTTTCTATACCAAATGACATTTTTTCTACCTAACACAGAAAAAAAACAGGCATAATTAATAGACTTTCGTCGATGTTGTATCTCACTTACTTTCTGATTGATCTAATATTTTTTGTATGAACGTGACCGCTTCCTATATATGTAATATGAAATGTTGACGAATCACTCGAATATACATTTATTCATATATAGAGAAGAAAAAAGAAATATTCGTCCTCGTCTAACCTGTTCTAACGGTACACTCACTTTCTCTTCTCTTCGTTCTCTCTCTCTCTCGCTCTCTCTATTATATGTTTAATTTAGGCGACAACGACGATATTGAAATATATATATTGAGATTGAAATAAATCAATGAAAGAGAGAGTTGAAGAATGAATTGAATATATAATATATAACCGATACAACAGCTGAAGAAAAAAAGAAAAGTAAAATAGGATTCGGTCGCCAATAAATGATTGAGACAAATATTAATGTTGCTACTGGTTTATTAAAATCTTGTTCCTCCTTTTATGGACAAGAGATTTTCAAAAATGTTAATGTTTATATTACTCTATCGTAAATTGATCTTAGTTCACATATAAAATATTGTATATTAGGCAGCTGTATGATTAAACCAATCTCTTATATAATCACTGTCAAACTAGTTACATATTGACAAGGTACTTTTAGAATTCGAAAGTTCATAAGATATGCCAAAAATTCAAGATTGAAGTTTTTATATTACTATTAAATATTCATAACATAAAAAAAATATACTTGTTTTATATAGACAATTTATCATATGAATACACGTTAACTATTATACCATCCACAACTAGCAGTTGTTAAATAGGTATTCATAGTTGAATCCCATATAATTAGAGCAATACCATGATGCCATTTTTCTATCCATTTAACTGTTTGTGTTTCATAATCAAAATATCCAACTACGCCACCATTAAATGATGTTTTCCATTCAACTTGTTCTGTTAAAGGATTATAGACGCCTCCAATTCCAGAATGAAATGATATTTGCCATTCAATATCATCGATTGAGGGGTTGTAGACACCGTGGCAGCTCCCTTTATGATATTTTTTCCATTCAACTATGTTCAGTTTTGGATTAAAAATGCCAAAAATACCACTTTCTAGTTCATCTTGCCATTCAATAGTACGCGTAACAGGATTAAATACTCCGTGTATTCCTCCGTGCCAATATTGTTTCCATTCTGCACGACCAGTAACTGGATTATAGACAACAGCGATAGAACCATTCCAATGTGTACGAATTTCAAGTGGATTTGTTTCTAAAGTTGTTTCGTGATAGAGTTCAGAAACTTTTATAGCTAGATTTTTTCGTTGTTGATAGATTTGTTTAAGTGGTTGAATAGAATCTTGTTTATATCGTGAAGCAGAATGAGTAAATAGACGTTTAAACATATTGAATTTCCGATAAAATATATTTTTTGAAGTATCATACGCACGTTTGTCATCTGCTAAGCAAGTTTTTATTTCATAATTTAATTGTTCTAATGGTTCCAGAAGTATTTTTTGATCTTCACGTCGATTATTATGATGTTGAAAATATAATTGTTGATAAGTATGAATTTGTGAATCGAATGTAGATTCAATAGACATTTTTTTCTAATATCTGTACAAACTATTAAATCATTCATTTACACTTCACCAAACTCAATTTATGTAAAAATAATTTCAGGAAATACTTGTATATAAAAAAGAAGAAAAAGAAAAAAAAAGTGAGTATGTAAATGTGTTGAGGCAAAAGTCATTTAATCATACATATTGTGCAAGAATAAGAAACACTATACGATACTAATTGAAAACTTTCAATATTGGGGGAAAAAAAACATCGATATAGAGGATTTGGTAGAAAATTTTATAAAAAATAAATTTACACGATTACATTTTTCAAATATTGATCAAATTTGCCCTTGTAAGGTAATGACGATTTTTTTTCTTCTTCTTCTACTAACAACAGATGTCTCGTCCTTCCTGTGAAAGGAAAAGAAGAAAAATCAGTTGACGTGTCTTATTTGCTGTATGGGCGACCAATTATGAAAAAATATCGGAAGTTACATTAAATTATTAATATATTTCATTACGACAAAAATAACTCGTTAATATAAAATGGCTGAATGGGGAAAAGGTGATCCTCGTTGGATTGTTGAAGATCGTCCAGATGGTAACATAAAAAAAGAATTTACATGATTCTAAAACTATTTTCTTTTAGCTACAAATCCAAATAATTGGCATTGGAAAGAAAAAAATGCGACCCAATGGTCAAAAGATAAATTAAAAGAATTATTAGTTGGACTTAAAATCGAAAATGAAGAACAATCATGTGAAATAAAAGATTTATCAAATTGTACTGGTGAAGCAACAGCTAATAATCGAAAGGCTAAACTTGTTTTTATCGTAAGTAAACAATTTTGTCCTTGTAATTAATATATTTTCTTCGTCGTCATATAGTATGAATGGCAAATTAGAGGCACTTGGGAAGGAACATATCTTACAGGTGATAATCGAACCAAATATGAAGGAAATTTTGAAATACCCAATTTATCGGATGAAAATGAAATACATGAAGTTACTATAACATTTTCTGTTGAAAAATCTAAAGGTGATAAATTAAAAGAGATGATGCGAAAAGAAGGTGAACCAATAGTACGTGAAAAACTTGCGGAATATATTCGTTCACTTAAAGAAGAATTTTCTCAAGGACTTATTTTACCAACAAAAACAAATTCAAATGCTCCTACGACTCAATCAAAATCATCTATAAATACATCTAATAAAATTCCAATTACACAATTACCAACAGGCCAAAATAATTCAGGAGTTGTTGAAGTAAGAGATATCAAAGTTCAAGATACATTTAAATGTACAAAAGTCGATTTATTTAAAGCATTTTGTGATATCGACCGAGTTAAAGCATTTACACAAAATAGTGTTACACGATATGATTGTAAAAAAGGTGGATTTTTTTCAATATTTAGTGATAATATAACAGGACGTTTCGTTGATATTGTCCCGTATGAACGTGTTGATATGTTATGGCGTTTTAAATCATGGCCTAGTGATCATTATTCTCGTGTTGCATTATTATTTCAAGATGATACTGATCAAACCAAACTTGTTATAGAACAAACAGGTGTACCAGTTCAATTCTATGAAAATACAAAAGTTTGTTTTTTTTTTCAAATTATTTTTTGATCTCAATAAATTATTTTTATTTAGGATGGTTGGAAACGTTTCTATATCAATAGTATAAAAACAACATTTGGCTACGGATCATCATTGTTTTAGTCTATTTAAAATTATTGTCTCTGTAGTTTTTCACAATAAAACATTTAGCATAAGATATAAAACATAATGGTTATGATTTATTAATTAGATAAGAAGAAAAAACAGGCATAGCTGTCAATATTAACAAATGTGTTCGAAAAGGAGAAAAAGAAAAGAATCTAATGATTTATTTTGAATAAATTATAATATACAGAAAACTTCTTTAACAACATATTATTCAAATTAATCATCGATGAAAATATATCAATTCTATTTGACAAAAAAGAAACAGACACGTATAATAGAAGATAATTTTCCGATTCATATTACATATTTTAATAAAATGTTGGATAAATATAAAGAAAAGATAAGCATAATGTAAACAGATAAAGTTTTCTTTCATAGTTGATTAGATTTAACAAACATAAGGATTTGTACGTGTTGATGGTAATGAATCATCTTCACTTGAATTTGAATGTTGCTTAGCACATGATGCTCCAAAAGCAGAATTAACTAAAATCGAATGATTATTGCTATTGTCCATAGATATTGCTGGTGATTGTATGCTGTTCATAAGTCGTTCTATACTGCTATTTGTCATTGTTATAACTAATGGTTGCTGTTGTTGTTGTTGTGGAATAAATATTGAATGTGAACTATCAGTATCATAAGCTGAATTTGTTAATATAGGATTAGAATCAAGAAAATTGCTTAATTCTTCTTCTTCACTATAAACAGGTGGTTGATACGATGGAAGTAAGGGTGCAGGTGTATCAATAATTGACGAAAGAAATCCTGTATCACCGAAAACCATTGATGGTGAATTATTGAGTAAAGGACATTCATTTAAATGATTTGTTACAACTGATTCGAGATGTTGTTTTTGTTGTACTAAAGCATCAACCATTTTTAAAAGATTTTCATGATTTTTTAATTCTTTATTATATTCAATTTCCAAATGACTTAAAACATTTTCACGTTTTTCTCGACATTTTGTAGCTGCTACACGATTACGTTCACGACGATCACGACGTTTTTCTTCTTCATCAGTTGATAAGACTTCATATTTTGAACGACGACCTGTATATAATGTTTTCGATGGTAATTTACGTGGATTAACTGTTACTGGTCCATATCTATTTATTAGAAAAATAAAATAAAATAATGATCAACAAAAAAATTTAACCTTTACCTCACACGACCTTTTGGTAAAATTTCAATACTAGCTTCTACTTGTGGTAGATCATTAGGCGTAGTACTCAAAACATTTAGTTGACCTTTATCTTTTCGTTGTTTTTTTGATGATTTTAAATCATTAGTTATTTTTTGAGAACCTGACGTAGATATAGGTGCTCGTAAATAACTAACTATCGAATCAACACTATTAAATAATGAATTCATTGAATAATAACTAAAATAAACTAAATATAATAAGCTTATTTGATAAAATCGACTTGGGTTTTTTCCCAGTTGATGTAAAGAAGAAGAAAAAACAAGTTCGCATGTACTATTCTACATAAAATAATGATATAGACGAAACGATACACATATAGCGCACCCTCA